TAGGCGACAACCCCTGTCCACAGTTGATAAGGCTAACAAGTTATAAGCCCGCCATTGAACCATTATGGGATCATCCAGCGTAGCTGAGGATTTTCTTCCTCCCCAGGCTCCGTCAAATGCCACTGTTCGGCGGATCAATTTTCTCAATACAGATCCGCCTATCCCCCAGTACAAGGATTATAATGCTGTCGTTATCGACAACCTCCTGACGGAAGAAGAATGCAACGAGTTGCTTCGCATTGCAGAAGCCTCAACTATCAAGGACACTTCTGGCCCTCCAACATGGGATCGCGCGATGATTAACACTGGAGGCGGGGGGCAGGCACTTGATACAGTCCAACGCCACTGTGGGAGAATCATATTCGATTCCTCTGAGTTGGCGAACAAGCTGCTCGCTCGCCTAATGCCGTTTCTGAAGGAAGTGGGGGTTGATCACATCCGCAATCAACCGCTTGTGACTGGTCTCGAAGGACGAGGGAGGGCGTACAGACTCTCGCAGCTGAATGAGAGACTGCGGTTCCTGAAATACGAGGGTGGTGAATTCTTTCGACCTCATTGGGATTCAAACTACCTCACACCGGATGAGGAGGAGGAGTCCTTTTATACTCTGCATTTGTATCTGAACGGCGACGGAGAGCAGGATCTGGAGGAGTTGCTACAAGCGAGTAAGAAGGCCGAGACGGATCCCCAGGGCAGCGACAATATAGATGTATCGGGAAAGCTCCTAGGAGGAGCAACATCCTTCAGTGCGAGTTATGGGGAGGGAGATGGTATTGTTCGAGTGTTCCCTAAGACAGGGTTAGCGTTGGTCTTCCAGCAGTACCACTTGCTTCATGCTGGGGACCCTGTATTTCGAGGGGTCAAATATACCTTGAGAACCGATATGATGTATCGCGAGGTAGCGATGACTTGAAATATTTCAGCAGATAGTTATCACAATATTCAGTCAATTTCAAGATGACTTTCATTATGCGAACTATATAATATATTATTGACCCAGACGACAGTTATCAGCCAAGGTTGATGAAGAATGACTTCGGATAATATATAATCATTCGAAACCCACATTTAAGAAGGCTTTGTAATTCTACAGCCATAGCCATCCTCTTTATAATGAAGAATAATTTGCAAGCAAAAAGCGAAGCATTGCCTGATATATAAACACCGGCGACTCTTTTCCCCGGCCCGAATTGTTGATTTCCAGCTTCAATCTCCGCAACCAACTGCTATCATATCACAGTCATCCGCTAGTGATCCATTGGACACTACATAGAAGCCATGCGTTTGTTGGCTACCGGCAGAGCGCTGCGGGCCAGCAGTGGCAGATGGTCTGTCGTGACGTCTCGCAGTACCCTTCGCATACCAATCTCGCATCTCGCCGAGCCTCTCGCCGTCACCGTCACGAGAAGAAATTTGAGTTCGACAGCGAGCCGGAAGACAGAAGAAAAGGCAGAGACAAAGAACAACGCTACGGCTCGTCCATCGCCTTCGCAGTCATTGACCATTGAAGGCCAGACCTACCGTACAGACCAATGGACCAACACCCCAGACACAATACTGTCGCACGTCGGACGTCGACTATACCTCGACGAGAACCACCCTCTGGCGATCACTCGCAAATTGATCGAAAGTCAATTCCCCGGCCCGGTATACGGTAACTACTCCGAGAAGAACCCCGTCGTATCAGTCGCGCAGAACTTCGACGTCCTGGGATTCGCGCCGGACCATCCGGGCCGCAGCCGGACGGACACATACTACATCAACGACAAGACGGTGCTGCGGACACACACCAGCGCGCACCAACAGGCGTACTTCCAGCAGATCAACCGCAACGAGGCCACCCGCCCGGAGGAGGTAGGATACACGGTGGTCGCGGATGTGTACCGGCGCGATGCGATCGATCGCAGCCACTACCCCGTCTTCCACCAGATGGAGGGCGCCATGCTGTGGAAGCGCCCGGCGACGGACCCGCTCAAGCACGCCACGCGCACCGCCGCAGCCATCATGGAAGATGTGAACCGCATCCCTGCGCACGGCGTCCCCGTCGAGGACCCCAACCCGACCATCCACGCCGAGCGCAACCCGCTCCAGGCCGAGCACCACACCGCCGAGGAAGTCGAGGCCGTCGCAGCGCACCTCAAGCGCTCGCTTGAACGCATGGTCATCAAGATCTTTACCGAAGCCCGCAAGGCCACCGCCGCCGCAAACCCAGACGCAGCGGCACAAGACGAACCTCTCAAGGTCCGCTGGGTGGAAGCCTATTTCCCCTTCACCAGCCCGTCCTGGGAACTCGAGGTCTTCTGGCAAGGCGACTGGCTCGAGATCCTAGGCTGCGGCGTCATCAAGCAAGACCTGCTCATCAACTCGGACGTGCCGGACCGCATCGGCTGGGCCTTCGGGCTGGGCCTCGAGCGCATCGCCATGCTCCTCTTCAACATCCCCGATATCCGGCTGTTCTGGTCCCGCGACGAGCGCTTCCTCTCGCAGTTCAAGGCCGGCCAGATCACCCGCTTCGAACCCTTCTCCAAGCACCCCGCCTGCTACAAGGACGTAGCGTTTTGGTTGCCGTCGGCGGCCGTGAGCGGGGGCAGTGCGGCGGGCGGTGCCGTGCCAATTCACGAGAACGATATCATGGAGATCGTCCGCGGCGTGGCGGGTGATCTCGTCGAGGACGTACGGCTCATCGATGAATTCACCCATCCCAAGACGGGCAGGAAGAGCATGTGCTACCGGATCAACTACAGGAGTCTGGAGCGCACCCTGACCAACGAAGAGACGAATGAGCTTCATGACAAACTGCGCGAAAAGCTCGTCGGCCAGCTGGGAGTCGAGTTGCGGTAGAACGGACATGAGAAATCACACATCACCCTGTATTATAGAATCACTACGTCTCTAAGGCTTATAGTCCATACATTTGTATATTACTCTCGACAAGCGATACCGAATCTCATCTTCGTCATCAGATTTTCCATTTTCTTCTAGGTCACCCGCCCGTATTACCAGGGCGAGATATAATAAACCCATGCAAACATGGTCATCCACATCCAAAGCCAGACTTTCAATGACGGCATTGCCCTTTCTCAGGGTGTATGAAAGCGGAAAATATGCCGCTGACGGCGAGTAGTATACAATAGGGAGGAGAGATTGTGAAACAATAGAAATCAAAAAGCCCATACGACGGGAAGACAACCCGGACGCCTCCAGTCGCATGAAGAAAATCCTAAACAAAATAGCTTATGCCCCTTATCGAAGGACGATGAATGCATTACCCCATCATGACGAGAAAGACATGTCGTATATTGTACAAGGAAAAGATAGGAGAAGATAGAGGCGGCAGGAGCGACGTAAACGCAGCCAGGCGAGTCAGGCATAGTAGGATGTCGTGACGATTCTAGTCTAGTTGTTCTTGACAACGCCGACCTTGGCAGCCTGAGAAGACACTGGTTAGATCTCCGGATAGATCTGGTCAATTGAGGAATGACTTACTCTCAAAACTCTGCCATTGAGCTTGAAGCCCGTGCTCTGTGTGTGGATGATCTCGCCATCCTCTTTACCCTCGACCTTGGTCATGAATGTGGCCTCATGGAAGTTGGGGTCGAACTTCTGGGGCTTGCCGTCCTCAGCGGGCTCACTGGGATCGAATCTCTCCAGTCCGTGCTTCTTCAGAGTGTTCAGCAGGATGTGCTGGGTCATCCTCAGGCCGGACACGAGGTCCATCAGCTCCTTGTTGGACTCGGTCACTTCGGCGTCGAGCTTCTCCGCGGGAACAGCAAGGAGAGCCCGGTCGAAGTTGTCAATGCTCTCAAGCAAGTCGACGGCGAACCGCTGAATGGCGAAATTCCGGGCATTCTCCATTTCACGCTTGGTGCGTTCTTGCAGGTTGAGGAAGTCCGCAACGGAACGCATGTATTTGTCCTATACGCAAATTAGCACCTGTGAGCATGTGCTAAATTTCATCGCAACGGCGATTGTTCCATCAAGCACAGATAGTGGTGAATACCTTCAGATCAACAATTTCCTTCTGCTTTGCCTCCAGTTCCTTGCGGAGGCTCTCCTCCGAGGATTCCTCAGCAGCTCCATTTTCCTTGGCCTCAGTCTTCTCAGCATTCTGAGTTTGATTCTCTGTCGAGTAGAAGCGGGAAGTCGGCTGACGAACAAGCGGCCGAACAGACTGCAGCTGTGGTTGCAACTGTGACGTGCGGCGGATGACTGAGGGTGTGGTAGATGTGGCGCGGACAGAGAGAACGGACTTGGCGGCCTGGGCCTGTCTGAGGAAAGTTCTTTGGAACATGATGGATGAGGGGTATTTCAAGGATGTAAAAGGAATATGGAGCTTTGAAAGGGGGAAAATGCAAGCAGTGTGAAGCTGTGGTAGAGCCAGTGCTTTTCCCGACAGAAAAACAGAACTTTCGAAGCTGCAGCCATGGCATCACCTGACCGCTTACTGTTTTGGGTCATGGTAGGGATCTTCGGCCCGATGGAGAAGTGAATAGATGATCATTATCAATCATAATAATGATGGTCATTGTTCTGTGCATGCTTGTCACTGAATGTTGTACATCTAGGGGACAAAGAGGGTGCTGCTTATGCTATGTGGCTAGTCTCAAAGATCTCAATCTGGCTCTTTGAAGTCAACCACATGGCTTCATTGTACTCTGTATATCCTTGAACCAGTCTTGCAGGGAAGGACACCACAGAGGACAATATAACACCACCTGCTACCTCTCTAATAGTAGCGAAATTAAGACAGTGACTGCCAGAGTAGCTGCGCGGTGTGATGGCCAGTCCAACCCCATGAAGGGGATTATCCATACCCTTTCAGTACATTTTTGGAACTTATCATGGCTCCTTGTTGGTCGATCATGAATACTACCTTGGAAATACCCCACATTGCCTCGAGCATTGCTTTATAACCACCAACCCCTCAATGCGACTCAAACGAAGTGGCGGATTAGTCCATGGCCGTCAATTGAGCCTACCCGAAAACACGCGCTGTCGAAATGCCTCTTAGCTACGATCCTGAATATCACAAGGCCACAGTCGAGTTCTTCGCGACTAGATCGGATCCCAAAGCTGCAGTTCACGATGTTGCAACTCGGAGAAGTAACATCACGGCCAACTATAAAGCCATGTTTGACAAGCTGCCTTTGGCGCCCGACGTGGAACATAGCATTTACCCCGTGAAATCGTACGACGGCTATACCATCCAAGTACATCGGTTCTTCAAGAAGACGTCGACTCCAGCAGCTGCTGGTCCAGCCGTGCTACACACCCATGGAGGCGGTACTATACAAGGCGATGTCGCCTTGTTCGTCAAGCCTCTTTCCATCCAAGTCCAACAGACCGGAGTTCAGGTCTTCTCGGTAGAGTACCGATTGGCGCCTGAGAACCCTCATCCAACGCCAGTGGAGGATTGCTACGCCGGACTCACCTGGCTGTACGAACATGCTGACGAGTTTTCCGTGGACCGCAGCCGCATAGCCACGATGGGCGAGAGCGCGGGGGGACTGCTTGCGGCGGGAATCACTCTGATGGCCCGCGATCGAGGATTGGCGCCTCCGATCGCCAAGCAGATCCTCATTTACCCCATGCTGGATGACCGTAACACGGTGCCCAATCCTGAACTGGAACCTTTCGCTCTGTGGGACTGTAATGATAACATCACTGCCTGGACTGCGCTTCTGGGGACCGACGTTGGCAAGGACCGTGTCTCACAGTATGCTGCGCCCGCGCGCGCAGTGAGCATGCAAGGCCTGCCGCCCACGTACATTGATGTCGGCGAACTGGATATCTTTCGAGACGAAGATATTGCCTACGCGGCCAGAATAGCATCCGCCAACATCAGTGTAGAACTACACGTATACCCTGGCTTACCTCATGCCTTTGAGATCTATGCGCCGCACATTGAGGCAACAAAACGGGCTACTGCAGATCGATTCAGAGCTGTCCAGACCGTTTAGATAGATGCTGCCCAACCAGGCAGTATTGCATGCGACTTGTTGCATATTACTTCACTGAGTTTAGCAAGGCGTTTGTCCCAGAAGATAGTGTACGGAGCCCGAAGTGTAAATATTAGACAAAGCTGCCTTTGCGATTAGTCTTCCGTATTCTGGAGTCCATACGGTTGTAGTCGTGGCTATGCCGTACGACTACCGGTGTCCCGAAGACACAGGTCCGGACTAAGCCAAAATCGGTATCTGCCAAGCAGCAGTGCTCTCTGGCGAAAGTAGGCAGACGAATTCACCTATTTGATTTTGGGAGTAAGAATCATCATATGGAAGACCTGGAGGCTGGTTGAGATGTTGAGCCTTGGTGACGAGGGCTGAGCATCTGAGATGCGTACTACAAGGTTGGCCCAGGTGACTGACGACATTCCAAAAGACATCAGCAAGAGCAGATATTGGACCATGTTAGATCAGATAGTGAAATTAGAGTTCCTCGGCATGATCATGACCGTTCATCAAGAGGAATGTCATCATGCCAAGTAACCATGCGATTCCGAGGCTATGGGAGGACAAGTAATCTAGGGAGTGGTGACCAGCCACTCGCGTCCTACCGAGCCTGCATCAAGCCAAATTGTTCAGAGATATGTGCATCTGTCCATCCATCATCTGTCAAAGCCACATGAGCGAAGAACTATCGAGCTCTTGGCAGTTACTGCGGTGTTATCAACTATCACATCCACTCCAGAGGCGGAGCAGACCCATATACGGGTACTCCATGCTGACCCAGAACTGAGCACCGAAGTAAATGCGGAGAATATCCGCCTAATGATCTGGTCAGTAGAAAGGTAGACAAATCCCAAATTCTGACTATATAAACTCTATAATAATGGCAAAGGCTGCAAGGCAAACAATATGGTTACGATGGATGTTGGTCGTAGTCAAGTGAGAACCTGGCAGCTATGGCATAGGGGTTGAAATCTTCCCTTGCGCATCGGAAACATCCAGCCGATCGATATCACAGTAAGTCGACGACTACTAAAGCAATTAGTGGCAATAGTTACATCCACGATGTCGCTGTGCAAGTGTACTAGGCAACGCCGAGCAAAGGAAAGTACAAGCCACACGGAGAAGTCTAGATGTGGAATTAATTATTGGTGTGGCAAAAGCCGCACCTATCGAACCAGCGAGAAATTCACCCAAATAGGAAGTGGATGTCCATACGAAAGTAACGCTGGATACGATCTTCAGGAACCGAAAAAGAAAAATCAAAGCAAGGTAGACACTACTGTACGGAGTAGATAGATCCCTAGTCTAGAATTCGGCTCTGTGATTACGACGAACGAGGCAAGCAAAGCCCCCATAGCGGAGCCTCAGGGGAGGCCGCATCCGAAGCCCATGGCGATACACTCATGTGTGTTTGGCTGCGCCTCTCAACAACTCTTGGGGGATCTGACCCGTTTCTTGTTTAAAAACGCTGGGAACGGAACATTGAGTAGTATTTTGCCATTCCACATCAACTTCAAGTAAGAACGAACAATCTCATTATTAAGTTTTCTCCCAATCAAGGTTTTCTCTTCCCCTGAACCCTCCATCAATCGCCATTTGCGGCCTTACCGTCGGTGGCAACCATCAGTCATATACAAAAGTTGCTTATCCGTCTGCCATCTACTACATCTGAACAACTCGACCTCAACATTCTCGCATCCCTGCATCAACCAATTCAGATTGCAGAAAACAGAGAAACAAAATCATTATGGCGGACATCACCACAACGACAACATCACCACCACACTCCCTCCCTCAGTCGCCCTCATTCGGCGCCCACCGCAGCTCCCACTCCTCAACCTCACCGCGGCCAGCTCTCTCGCTCGACCTCTCCAATCTACCTCCTCTCTCGCAGCCAACTCCCCCATCAAACACCCTCTTGATAACCGACCTGCACGACCTCTACCTCTTCCAACCGTCCTCACTCGCCTCCATCCGCTCCCAAATCGAGTCCATCGCCCCCCTAAACTCCTTCTCCCCGCTCCCCTCCATGCGCCGCATCGTCTGCTCCTTCCACTCAGAAGACGACGCCATCCGCGTCCGCAAACTCCTCGACGGCCAGGCCCTGCTCAACCGCAAAGTCCGCACAAAGATCTACTTCGGCGAACCCACCCCACTCGTCGACGAGGGCCGCCCTAAACTCCTCGAGGCCCCGCACCTCGACAAGCTCTTCTTCATCAGCCCGCCTCCGAGCCCCCCACACGGTTGGGTCATGCGCACTGAGGAGCCGCCCAACAAGGAGGTCCACGCCAGTGATCTCGCCCATGCGCTTGCGCAGCTCAAGACGGAACAATCTGCTCATGCCCCTTCCCCTGCCCCTGTTGACCCCGAGACGCCGATGTCGATGTCCGACGAGAAGCGGACGGGGAGCTGGCCGGTGGCTATGTCGCAGCAGCGGAGTCGGAGTAGTACGCTGATCTACAATCCCGAGGATCACGGTGGTAGTCCCGGTTTACCGGCCGTGATGGTCGAGGATACGAGTGTGGAGCCGGACGATGAGGATGTCGAGATGAGTCCGATTGACATGTCGGTTAAGAAGCTACCGCCGAAGACGGCGCGCCCTCCGGTTGAGCTGATGCATTGATTGCTTTTCGTCGGTTTTTTCTCTCGATGCATTTCGGTGTCTTTGTTCTGATATTGGCATGCATGGGACATTTTGTATTGCTATGGCGGCATTTCGCTTTTCAGTCACTGTATCATCATGGAAGGCGTCTCGATCGGGATTTGATTTCAACAAGCATTGTTCATGAACCGCACTTTGCTCTATATGTTTACTCTGACACGAACTCTGAGCTAATACACTAGTGTCATACATACGAATTGGTCGAAACCACTGCATTGCTCATTTCTACGTAGATTATCCTAGTAGTAATACCTTCAAGACTAGACAGTGCGCATGTCTCACTGTGAATCTAAATCCAGGTACTATCAATCGAACAAAACCACCGCACAATCCTTGAAAACTTCCTTGCCCAACACCGCAGCGAGTTCGGCGACAATGCCTTTAACAGATTGGGGGTTATCGATAGGCATTCGTTCCCAGCCTACGAGATCCTAGAGTCCAGCCATGTTAGCGAGCGAGGTTGGATGCGCCAGCAATGGGACCCCTCTTACCATCATATGAACGAGAGAGCCCCGCACGAGGAGGAGCGAGTGGTCCAGATCCAGCCTCTTTACCTCATCCAGAGTCATGACTCCGGGCATGTGCAGGTCAAACAGAGACATCTCCTCGTCATTGATCTCTTCCTCTGCCGATTCGAGCTCCGTAGATTCTGGCTGACCCTGCGCGGCCAATCGTCTGTCGCGGGAAAGCGACACGTACGGACGCTCGTCCAGCTTCTTGGTTAGCTCCCCGTCAAGCGGGTCCCAGGTGTTGCTCTCGGGGTCTGGGATCAAATTAGCATCTCGTTGTTATTGGCTCCGATGTCATCCTTACCGAGGACGTATTGTGGTCGAAACGCGCCTTTATAGCGCATCTTCTGACATGAGTGGATGTAGAACCCTGAGAGTCGTCAATCATCGCACACCTTCCTCTCCACTCACAAAACCAGAGTCACCTACCCATATAGTAGTATTGGTAAGACCCCTCCAGCGCAAGAGCAATCTCCCTCATGGCGCTGAGCTTGCCAAACTCCCACTGCTCATAATCCGGATCATAACTAGAATACTTAGCTACAGGCTCAGAGACTGGCCATGGGTTTAAACTCACAAGATGTAGACAGAGCTCACGCCACTTGGCATCAAGTCCAAAACAGCAACCGCAATGAGCTTCCCGTCGAGCCGATAACATTGATGCCATGACCCTAATTTTCGTTCCGCGGACTTTGCTTCCGCAGGAGACCTTTTGATGCCTGAGCACAAAAAACGCTTGAAATCCTTCTGTTTCCATTTGGATACGTCTTCCTTGTGGATTTTGGTTTGATATTTGACGAAAAGTTCGAACCTTAGGACGCGGTTAGCCTACAAAATGATACTAGGGCTCGAAGGTTGCTGACTTGGCCTGGGAAATAGAGTCTCCCTCTATGTTGACTTCAAATCGATGGGCTGGTTCCAGCAGTTTCTTCGTCTTCGGATCAATGGGCCGCTTGACGTTGCTGTACTCGGCCTCGTGAACCGCAGTAAGCAGATCGAAATTGCATTTTCGATGTTTCTTTTCTCTGAACAGAGAATAAAAGTGTAAGTGTATGCGGACACGTTTCTTCACCGGCAGCGTTTCATAGAAAACTACGAATACTCACTCCCTCGTTTTGGGGCACAAATAGGCTGCCCTACGGATGTATTCCGGACCCAGAACGAACTTGGTCCAGCGGTTGACAGCCTGGCGTTGATCCTTTCGCGGTTTGAAAGCGGATGCTTCAAGTCTGGGGTTTGCATCAGTTTCAGTCCCAGCGTCCAATGTCACAAAGCTAGCGAAAAGCACGGGGTATGCACCTTAACGTGTAGTGCGGACAACATGACCGTGGCAGATTCTGCTTGTAGTAGAGGGTTCCCGATCTAGCCGGAGGTTAGCAATGCGCTGTGAAGGTGATTGCATTGCCACTGCATGCAGATGAGCGAGTACAACCTTCTCCAGCCGCGATTGACGAGGATATCGTAATGTTCTGGGCGTACTGAAACAGAACTAGTGTAGTAGGCAGCGCCTGCATATACTGATCAGCCAAGGCATTGAAGCAGGGCTAAGAGAATGATGGCAGGTGGGAGGAAGTGGGGCAGGTGATCAAAAGACACACTCACTTCCATTATCAGATTTGCAGTAACCACAAGAGTTGCGCTGGTATCCTGTATGCGGATAGTGTTAGTCATACGGACAGTCATAGTAAGCATGAAGTGGAGGAAGAACAGCAAAGCGCTCCAAGCGGTGTGTTCTCATTCGGGAAAATAATCCAGATCCAAAAGCTTCAGAAGGCTAGAATATGGAAGCCAAGAACATAGACAGAGAGCAATGGCGTGGCGGATGAGGGGCAATACAA